CTCTTCAACACTTTAAAAAGGTCTTGTGCGGCAGATTTGCCTAATGCAATATGTTGTTTGATTTCTTGACTGCTGCTTCCATGAGTGTTGATAGGTGATCCAAGAAGAATGAAGTCCTTGACAAATTCAATCTTTTCTCCATTGATGGGAATGTTGTTTATTGGTACAGTGGTGAGGATTTTTCTTTACTTGACATTGAGATGTAATCCATACCGAACTCTGTGTTCTTTGATCTTTACCAGTAAATGTTTTAAGTCTGCTTCACTTTTAGCAAGCAAGGTTGTATCATCTGCATATCTCAGGTTGTTAATGAGTCTTCCTCCAATCCTAAGGCCACGTTTTTCTTCATATAACCCAGCTTCTTGGATTACTTGCTCAGCATACAGGTTGAATAAGTATGGTAAAAGAATACAACCTTGTCTCACAACTTTCTTAATTTTAAAACATTCAGTGTTCCCATGTTCTGTTTGAACAACTGCTTCTTGGTCCAGGTATAGATTACTCATGAGCACAATTACGTGTTCTGGAATACTCATACTTCGCAATGCTGTCCATAGCTTGTCATGATCCACACAATTGAAAGCCTTTGTGTCATCAATAAAGCACAGATAAACATCTTTCTGATAGTTTGGATCTTGCTTTCAGCCAAGATCCATCAGACATCAGCAATGATATCCCTCATTCCACAGCCTCTTCTGAATCCAGCTTGAACCTCTGGAAGTTCTCTGTCAATGTATGATTGTAGCCATTTCTGTATTACCTTTAGTAAATCTTTACTCGCATGGGATATCAAAGAGATTGTCCGATGATTTCTGCATTCCATTGGGTCACCTCTCTCTGGAATGGGCACAAATATGGATCTCTTCCAATCAGTTGGCCAGATAATTCTCTTCCAAATTTCTTGGCAGAAATGAGTGAGTGCCTCCTGTGCCACCTCACTTTCTTGAAAGATTTCCATTTTTATTCTATCAATTCCTGGTGCCTTGTTCTTTGCCAATTCCTTCAATGAACCTTGGACTTCCTCCTTCAGTATCATTGGCTCTTGATCATATGCTACCTCTTGAACTGTTTGAACATTAACCATTTCATTTTGGTACCTAACTCTGTGTATTCCTTCCATCTTCTTTTGATGCTTCTTGCATCATTCAATGATTTTCCCAGAGAATCTTTCAATAACATAAGTTGAGGCTTGAATTTTTTTCTTCAGTTCCGCCAGCTTGAGAAATCCTGAGCGTATTCTTCCTCGTTGGTTCTCTGATTCCAGATCTTTGACCAAATGGAATGCATCCAGTGCCCTGCTACTCAAATTCTTCTCAGAGTTCTGGAAGCATCAGCGTGCCCAGGGGGGCTGCTTAGAAATGCATGTGAGCTCCTTTCCCCAGCCCACCTGGATCTGTTGAATCTCAGTGACATTTCACAGGAATCCCAGGTCAAGTCATGAGCACAGTCATGTTTGAAGAGCTCTGCCATAGGAGAGGCTTAAAGAACTAATCTGAGTTTATTTTATTCAGCAAATGTGCCGTGAAGGTTTATTTTCTTGGTGATTATGTGGGAATTATAAAAGCTAAAGGATAGAACCCCTGCCCTTGCATTGATCAACTGCTCCATACTTTGCTCTGTGTTGATGGTTGTAGAAAAACCGACATTATTCATAACTACATTTCTCATAAGTCCTGGTGTGGCACTGTAGGATAAGCACTCAACTGCAAGGTCAGTTTGAACTACAAGGTCAGTACCTACTCAATGGCACTTAACAACCTATGCTCCTGGAACTGTTGAAGTATTATTACCATATTATACTATATGGTTGGTATTGTTGTTAGGTGCCATCGAGTCGGTACCAACTCATAGCGACCTTATGCACAGCAGAACGAAACACTGCCTGGTCCTGGGCCAACCTCACTATTGTTATTTCTGCCACGCTTGAGCCCACTGATGCTGCTACTTTGCCAATCCATCTTGCTGGAGGTCACTTGGTTGGTAGGTGCCATCCAGTTGGTCCCAACTCACAGTGACCTTCTGTATTTCTACAACAGAGCAAAATGGTGCCTGACCCTGATCATCCTCACTGCCATCATTGTATCTGAGCCTATGCTTGCAACTGCTGTGCCAATCCACCTTGTCTAGGGTCTTCCTGTTTTTCTCCAACCCTATGCTATACCAGGAGTCCTGGTGTAGCGCTGTGGGCTACTGCACTAGACTGCAAAGTCATTTGAACTGCAAGGTCAGTGGTTCAAGCTCATCAGCTGCTCTTTGGAAACCCTATATTGGGTCAGTATGGGAACAGCACTAAAAAACAACAACATATTATACCAAGCATGATGTTCTTTTCCAGAGATCGGTCCCTCCTGATTGGTCACTGTCCACAGTGAGCTAAATAAACTCTTGTCATCTTCTTTTCTAAGGAGCATTCAGGCTATAATTCTGCAGAAACAGATCAGATTATTGGCTATATTACAATACTAGAAGATACTAGTTCTCTCATAACATTATTATGATCATAAGAGCCCTGGTGTCACAGTGATTAAATCACTTACCTGTTAACTGACAGGTTAGTGTTTTGGAACCCCCAGCTACTCTGGAAGAAAGATGTGCCATCTGCCTCTGTAAGGATTTACAGCCTTAGTAACATGCTGGTGCAGTTCTCTTGTCTTTATGGGGTTGCTATGAGTTGGAATCTACTTAATGGCATGGGGCTTGCAGTTTTTATTATTATAATACATCCTTAGTGCTACTTAGAAACTCTTGCCAGAACTGGCTTTGGCTGTGGCTGTAAAGTCCCGCCATGCATCAGAAGAGTTTGGCTGAAGACATAAACATGAAAGCTGTTGGTTTGATCACCATTCCCATCTGATAACAAATAGAGTTTTCATAAGCACACTGTTATTTTTGAACATTTTCTCAACACCCAGTGTGGATGCATCTTTGAGAAGGAAACGGAGTCCCCTCTTCGAGAGTAGTGAGGTCCTGGGGAGGTATTTTGTAGAGTCATCTCTAAGGAAAGCAAGAGGAGACACAAAGTATCTCCTTGGCCTCAAACCCACTGCCACTGAGTCGATTCCAATTCATAACAACCCTAAAGGATAGAGTCAAACTGCCCCTTTGAGTTTCTGAGATAATAATCTTTACAACAGCAGATAGCCTCATCTTTATCTCATGGAGTGGCTGTTGGGTTCAAACTGCTGACCTTGTGGTTAGCAACCCAATGTGTAGCCCACTACACCACGTGAGCTCTTTTTTTGATGGTGGTGTCTAATGAACTATCATCAACTAGTGAAACAATAGTGCTCAGAGGATTTCTCTTCTTGTCCTCAGTTTTTTAGCTCATATGCAGCCACGCTAGATATGAACTGTGTTTTCAACCTCCTGGTGAACACACTGGCCCTATGGCCTGCCTGATACATTGCTAATACCTAATAGGATAAGACCCCCCCAATGAGATGGATCAGCCAGGTGGCATCACTGATGGACTCAAGTGTGGCAGCGGTAGTGAGGTTGGCCCAGGATCGGACATTGTATCGTTCTGCTGTGCATGGGGTCGCTATGAGTCGGTTCCGACTCCATGGCACCT